CACAGTGCCAGATCAGCAGTGCCACGTCAGCAGTGCCACGTCACAGTGCCAGGTCACAGTGCCATGTCAGCAGTGCCACGTCACAGTGCCAGATCAGCAGTGCCACGTCAGCAGTGCCAGGTCACAGTGCCATGTCAGCAGTGACATCAGACACAGTGCCACGTAAGCAGTGCCACATCAACAGTGCCACGTCGAACACAGTGCCATGTAAGCAGTGCCACATCAGCAGTGCCACGTCAGACAGTGCCACATAAGCAGTGCCACAGCAGACACTGCCACGTCAGACAAAGTGCCACGTCAGCAGTGCCACGTCAGCAACATGACGGGCCTGCCAGGCCAACTGGCCAATGAGCCCATTGCCGACTACAAAAAGCGCGTCCATGCTCAGCTCGCTGCAATCGAGGCTGAGGAACAACGCCAGCTGGCAGTCAAGGCTGCCCAGCTACAGGCTGATGAAGCGGCAACAGCAGTGAAGCTGCGGCTACAGGCCGAAGCAGATGCAGATGCCCAGGCTCGCCGCAAGGAAGCCCAGGCTCTGCTGCAGCGGCATGAAGCCAACAGCATCGAGAAACTCAAGTACTGGCACTTTGAACCGAACGGCGACGAGCCAACACCGGAAGAGCATCATAAGGAGCTCATGGCCAAGCTCGTGAGCAGGTTGGTTTACACATGTAACCACCTACAGTTCGAGCTGGCAAACCGTCAGCGAGCCGTGCGGAACCATAAGATTCAGCACGAGGATGCCACACGGGCACTGGACGCCCGTGTACTGGGCCTGGAACAGGCTGTGCCAGGACTAGATGCTGGAGCTTCCAGCAGTGCATCCTCTAGCTGCCAACTGGAGGAACGCGTTGACCATGTCGTGGCAATGCTAGGAGACATAAGTGTCTTCACAGAGCCGGCCACCATCAGCCAGCGGTTCGAGTTGCTGGACACTAAGATCAGTCAGCAACAGCAGACTGACCACAACCACAACAACAACTCAGCGAGGCCATACAAGATGCCGACGTTCCGGATCGAGAAATTTGATGACTACACACATCAAGACCCGGTCGTCTGGTGGCAAGGATTTACAACGAAGTTGGGGATTCACGAAGTCCCTGACCATCTGTTCATCAGTGCTCTGTTCATCAACACCAAGGGAGGTTGTCAGATCTGGCTCAGCCACATGGCAACCATCCACGACGTCCAGGTTTCAGACCTGTACAAGAAGGTCTCCTGGGAAGACATGACGAAGGAATGGAAGAAGCGGTTCATCATCGACGACGCCCCAGCACTCGCCGTCAACCGCATCTTCACGATGGCTCAATGGAGCACACCGACACGTGACTGGCTCACGGATTGGCAGAAAATCGTGGCGACGCCCGATTTGGACTTGTCATTTCCGCATCTGCGGCGTGAGTTCTACAACAGGTCATGCGCCGCTCTCAGCCTCGCACTTGGTGATCGCGAGCAGTACAACACTTTCGCAGAGATCATCAACAAAGCGAGAGAGCTCATCAAGACTAACAGGCCGGCTGCACATGAGAAGTCCACGTGGCAGCCAACCTATGCGGAGAAGGTACGAACTGGTCCGCGACAACAGCAGTTCGCTGCAGTCCAGTCGGACAGTGGAGATAACCCAGCAGCCAC